TCCATGTGCGTCACTACGTTCGATACCTGATATGTATTGCTCCGTTCGTGGAGGAACGAGCCGACACGCTCCACTCAGCACTCAGCACTGCGTCCCAGTATTATTCCTGCATCAAAACACCACGACGCCTCAGCGCAATCGCGCCTTTCCGCCCTTCCGAATCCCTTTCCTGACGTTTCTGGCTTGCTCCTCCGCCCGCCGAACTCACGTCATCTGCAGAGTCAATACCTTTACCCCATCCCATCTCCAGAGATAATCCACTCTCCACTGCGACACCGGGAACGACGATGCCATTCAGAAGCGCCACTACCTTGGGCAAGCTGCTTCTACACATTAGGACTGTACACCGTGCCACACCTCTTGTATTCCGCTTTGCTCCTTCTGGTATCCCCTCGGCGTTCATGCTCCTTCGCTCATTCGGTTTCGCACATATGCATGCCTGTCCCTATTCATGTCCGCACCCGCCCGCTTTGAGCCACTCTTGCTTTCGTCTACTCGGTTGCTCGCTCGCTTATTTATCTTCTGCGCTCCACCCGCACTCACTTGCACACCCGCACTCACTTGCACACCTGCGCCCCTGTGCCTCATGGTCCTGCACGCACACGATGCACAGCACGATCGCACGGAATGCCGGATTGCGAAGTGCGTCCGATTCATTTGGTTTTGCGATTCCTTTCTGCTCATTATCATTTCCGATTCAACACAGGGCGAATGGTTGTCGTACGCGTGCAGAATACGAGCAGAAAAAACTATATGGTGGGTACTTCTACTTCCACTTCCCCACGCGTGGTTTCTTTTCCTGGATCCTAGCTCGCCTCACTCCCGTGGCGGACGCTGCTCCCTTCTCTCGTTAATATCCGACGGCTTCACGTTTCCGTTTCGCGTTCGTGTTCCCATTTACATAAATGTGTTCGCGTTTTGCGCTCTCCATTTCGCTCGTCGATTAACACTCCCCGATTCAAGTTGATTATTTGTCCTGGTCTCCGATTCAATCGTCCAACTCGTTCCAACTTATACGTGTCCGATGCAATCAAGATTCTCCCCCAACCTCAACTCACGCTCAACTGCAAGTACACGTAATGAGTACAGTCCCGAGTTACTTCAATTTCAACTTCTTCTATTCACGCCATCAATTTTTTGCAGTACGGATTTTTGAAGGAGAACACAGATATTGACTTCTACTTGCAGGGCCGATCGCTCTCAAGGATTCATTTGACTCATGACTATTTACTCGTCGATTCCAGCCATATCGTCTCAAGTCATTCGCAGTGACTCGGAGAAGACAATCGCTGACAGACAGACGTACCTTGGATTGAAAGTGCCGACCCAATGGTGAAGTATATCACATTCGCCTCGAATATAAGAGCTGGCGCGAATGCTGGCGAGGAGTCACCTGTTCCACTCGGGTCTGGGTCATAGAATGACCATCAACTTTTTTCTTTCTTTCTTTCGGTTTCCATGAATTCATTTTTTTTTAAGTCGTGCCAATTCCGCGCAAGGAGCTACAGACTCTGCGCAGTAGGGGGATATTATATCCGTGCGAAAATATTGACGAAGTGAGTAGCTAACCTTCGCGAGATTGGAAATGCAGACCCTGTGGTAAGATCACATCCGCTTTGCATATTTGTTTGCGCCGAAACGTTCAGCGGAAATGCATCGTGTCCATGTCAAGTATAACCGCGGTCCGATACTTATCAAAATTCCTGTAGAAGTCGCCCGTTGAACAGCGCAACTCGGGTCCGGGCGATCCTTCCTTTCTGCTCGTGCGCCGGAAGCATCCACATGGATAAGAAGTTCAGTGGGACGATGTATACTGACCCGGTGGTGAAATGAATTACGTCCGCCTTCCCGCTGCCGCCTCCAAGGCTGCCTCGCCGTTTCAGTTCACAAGCGGAACACCATCGGAGAATAATAGTGCGTTTTGCTGCGAGACCTCCCTCCGCCTGGACATAACAACGGTGCTAATTTTTGTGCGAACCTGCGGGGGGAAAAACAACTATTGGCAGACGCGTTCAATGAATCAATGACCAGCACGTGGGCGTGTTCTTGATCCGCAAATCGACGGTGACGAGTGCCAATGCCGTCACCGTTCTTTCCTTCCTTCTACGTCAATGTCTCTTTTTCTCCAGTCTCCTCGCCGCCCCATTCTCGCTCTATGCTGAAACGCCCGCCCCGTCTCACGTCTAGCCATAAGTAGCTTCGCGCTTCGCTATTGCTTGAACTCATGAGCCGGCTTCCAGCCGGCTCTATCATGATCCTTCTGGGGACCGCATCAACGTCCATTCCCCGTACCTCGACGCCGTCGGGCACCACCGACGACGTGCACTTGGCCCATCCGTACATCTCGTCCAGATCTCATGCATCGTTGTCTCGTCATCATCACAACCCACCCAGTATCCCAATACACAATGCACGTGCGTACATAGCTGCATCGATGCCTATGTATTGCTCGCTCGCATATGCCGCAGTTCGTTGAGGATGGATCCGGCAGCTGGTGCGTCATTCCGGGAAACATATATTGATATTGACGCGCTGACCGACATAGATGGCATAGGAAGTTTGGCTTTCGGGTCTTCGACCCGCGCTCCAGACCGGCCACCACGACGCCGGCGTCGACCCCCATTGCACCACCTCGTAACTGCTGGAACCACCTACATCTGAAGACTGCAACCGTGCATATTTCCGACGCTCTTGGTTTTCCGCCTTTCACCTTTAACGAATGCTGCTTTTCCTATCTGTTTCCGGGCTCCGCACCCGCGCTTTCGTTTCTGCTCACCTTCTCACTGACTCACTCAAAGTTTGCCTGCTCCTTCAACTTATTTGTCTTCTCCCCCGCTCTCCGCCGTTGCTCCTCGCAGTGCCTCGGCGACACACCTCCGCTTGCGCCGTCCCCTGCGCTGCCGCTACAAATGCAAACAAAAATATACTTGCCGGGGTTGAACGTTGAAGCTCGAATCTCGACCGAGTACGTCACCTCAAGCTCTCCCCTCTCACTTCTAGCTGGCACGCTGCTCGCCCCTCTCGGCTCACCCGCCGCCCACACTGTATCCTGTTTTCTACTCGGCTCACTCACGCTGACCCTCACGCCCGACGGTGAGGCTGCTCTCCTTCCCAATATCCTTCACGCATTCGCGTTTCCTCTTTCATAATTCATTTCCCTCCTCACATCGCATCCGTGTTTCCACTTTCACAATTCATATACCTCCTCGAGTCGTGTTCGCGTTTGCATTTGCATTCCATTCCGACTATCGTTCCGTGGCCAATTGATTGATTTATATATATATATATATTTATATATTGGTTACTTCTCTCGTCCCCCAACTAAACTTGTCTCCCCCCCCAACTAATTATTTCCCTCTAGGTAAATCAGATTCCAACCCACTAGCACACTCTCTGAATCGGACTCCCTCTCCCTTCCTCGGCTAAATTCGTTCCGAGTGGAGCTGCCTTCGTTTGAGTCCTCGCTCACTAATCTCGGCAGGCACAGTGGCGTTATGATTTCTCCTGCGCTAATCATGAGTCTCCGGCCCTACTGCCCCACATATTGCTAAACCGCCAATTGATTTAGATAGCACGCAGAACTTCGCGTGCATCGGCCGGACTTTGCGTGTTGCAGGATGTCGAGGAAATACTGTAGGATGCTACAGTAGTACGATTTTTCGAAGAGCCCACAAGGCCTTTTATTTTATTTTGGGGAATCATTGACGGACGACGGAGATATTTGAAGGTTTACTTCAAGGGCCGGTGGTAATCGCACGCAGGGTATGTGAAATACTTACTGTTCGCAGTTCAAGTTACTCGGGCAAGTTGGGTCCGGCCCACGGGCGAGACGCGCGATTGTTTCCCCTTCTTTTCAGTGTCGAATATTCGTTTATTCGCGAGCGCGCCCTCGTTGATTTAATTACATGTATAGCTAGCCTCCGAGAACGGCCAAATGGAGGCATCGAGGATTCAATCCTACGTATCCACGTTACCTCCTCGTCGTATTACCATCAAAACGAGATCCTCCTATAGATCTAGGTTAGCTTGAAATCCCGACCCAATGGTCAACTCGGGTTTGGGTCATTGGGGGCTCGATCGTTTTTTTTCTGCCAGCTTCGGTTTCGGTTTGGTGTGCAAGCCCCTTGATTCCATGGGACCATTTTTTCTTTTGGCCGCATTCAATTTCTGATAAACCACGATGAGCTTCATGCTCCATTCCGTGTAACGAGCTTCAAAAAGGTAGCAGAATCTTGCGTTACCTATGTCGACTGAAGAACATTGCCAGAGTGCTAGTGAAGATTCGACCTCCTCCAGCCCGCCCCCGCCGACGAACGTTCATTTTCCTTCCACATCTGCCAGAGGCTGCTATAGATGTACGCAGATTGAAAATACAGACCTGGTGGTGAAATTGATCACACCCGCTTCGTTTGGAGTAGCTGTAGGAACGGATACTCAAGCGGAAGTCGCCTGTTCAACCCGGGTCCAGGTCCTAAGGATCTTCTACAGACTTTTGCATCTGTGTGTTGTCGTTTAAATTTGTACACATCCACGGTGAGCTATATCTAGGTGCATTCAACACAGCTATTATCGAATGCGTTGAAAGCCCTGCAGCTCACCAAGCAACCAAGACCAGTGTACTCCACGATGAAATTCACAGTCGTGGGAGTTTGTGAAGTAAACACAGAGAGCATTTTGGGGAACGAGGGTACTGTGACGGTGCATGGAGTCCCGGTGGTGAAATTTATCACGTCTGCTTTGAATGCGTAGCTAACCCGTGTACTCTCAAATGTCAGTGGAAGTCGCCCGTTCAAGCTTTCAAGTCGGGACCGGGTCATGACCATCTAGCAACTGCGCTTGTTCGATGCTGAATTGTCGATTCCGTGGCATGGACTGATCGACCAATTGTTTTTCACATCCGGTGAAAACCAGTGCACAGATCAACTAAATACACGGTTGAAAAATATTCGCCGCCTGTGGAGAAGTCCCTGAATAATGAGGTTAGTTCGACTGTAAATAGAGACCCGGTGGTGAATTGTATCACGTCCGCCTACAATGCATGAAGCCCTTCTGAAGTGTCAGTGGCAGTTACCCGTTCAACTCGGGTCTGGGTCATACGACTCGAGGACGAGGAATGTTTTTATTTATTTTCTGACAATGGTAGGCTCCATCCCAGGAACAGACACAACTATTCTGTTGTTCAACACTGTGATCTAATATTTGCACAGGTCCAACGCCGCCTCCGAGCCCCCACTAAGTACAAACGGGCTTCAATCCATTTCCCGCGGCAGCGCCGCCGTTTCAGAACGCCCTTCGAGTCTGACCATATATACTAGGAGTATGATCCTGCGAAGTTCCGCTGCGCAAAGAACAATATCAGTTCCTGCGCGCCAGTCGGCGCTACGCAAAGCCGGCGGACGCGTTCGAATCCATGGCGCACGTGGGCGTGTTTTGATCCGCAACTCCGCAAATTGGCTGTGATGCCATCATCACCGGTCTTTCCCTCCCTTTCTACGTCGATGTCTCCTCTGCTCTCCTCACCACGCTGCAACCAGCGCATCCCAACGACGGACTTGACATACATAAAGGGATTCCATTGCTTAGCGTCGCTGTATCTGGCCCCGACCTCCGACTGCCTCGTTTTGCTGGTCCACGCTCTATAACTATGCAGGAACGCCCGCCACATCTCGCTGCAGGCTGCTTATCGTCTGCGCTCCGAGTCATTAGCCGTTTCATTTCCTGCTGCCCCACCTCATTGGCTCTACTATGATCCATCTCGCCACTGTGCGTACGGGTCCCGACTCGACATCCATTGCTGGGCAGTGGGCTGCCGACGATGGGCACTACTTGTCCCCGGGCCGTACCTGTATCTCTTCCAGATCTCTGGCTGTCACTCAGAATGACTCAAAATTCATATTTTCCGCGTCATCGCAACCCACCCTCCCAATCTATCAACACCCTCTTCGTTGGCAAACTAGCCGGGTGCATTGTTCCCAGATATGTATTGCCGCGCTCCTGTTCCAGCGTGCTACTACCAGTACTCATGCGTCACAACACAACAGCACGCCGCCATATGTATCGCGCCTTCCCGTCTTCCCCTTCGCGACGTCTCCAGCTTGGTCCTTCGCTCGCCGAACTCCCGTCGTCTGCATCAGGCCTCATTGATGCCTCATCTACAGTATGAAGACTGCACATACCATACCTCTCGTATCCGCTCTGTTGTGCTTCCGCTTTCGCTGCCCCTGCCCGTCTCCGCACCCGCTTTCCTTCACCGTCGCTCATTCAATTGCCTGCTTGTTGCTTGTGTCCGACCGCGCTTTGAATCCACCGCCGTGCGCCCTCCGCATTCCCCTTCAAACACGCTTCCGCACACAGATCAGCAATAAGCATTCTCTCGTACAAGGCCCTCGACATGAACCACCCGTACGGCAAGGCCCTCGCCGATGCCAACGGCAGGGTTTATGCCATTTGACGTTCAAGACCGGAGTGTCTAACTTTATGTGGTTCTGGACTGTGCGTAGTACGTACGCACAGATGGCAGGTATTACCGCATCATGGTCAATCACAGACCGGGCTGCCACTACACCGACCATATTCATCGACCTCACCAAGTGCCGAAACCGAGTGGCATGGACGAGTATGTCGGGGCTAGTAGCTGAATCAAGGTGTGTGTTTTATCCCTTCTTCGCCCCTCCCCAGCCCCTCCTCATCGCCCCCCTCCACCGCGTCTACAAGTCGATTGTACAGCGCCATGTCCTCATACTCGGGCTGTTATGGATATGATTACATCTCACATTCTGGTAGTTTCTACGTACATCCTCGCAAGTCATTTGATTGTTCCCACGGTTCAGTTCTGTGAGTCAGGACTTTGACTCGATGTTAGGTCCCGAGGCCCCAAACCGGTAATGACTCAATTAGTAGAATAGTATATATACTGGAATGTTTGTATGTAGATAGACCACCACTCTTGCAATACTACTCTCATCTCGTCTCATATCTCTCTGTGTGAATTAAGTGAATCTAGCTCAGCACGCGGTATAGCTGCTCGGTAAGTACCCACTGCCTGGATACCAACTAACGCGCTACGCTTGGTTGTATATTTGGAAGCTGTCCTAAGTGCAGTAAGCCTTAGCGCTGCGCACGCATCTTACGTTGCGTTGTCTTAACGTACCGTAATTTGGCAGGTCACACTCGAGGTCAAGACAGGTGTAGATTATCCCTCTCTCAGTACACAGTTATCGAGTTAAGCGTCCTGCCTGCTCAGTAGCTGGTACTTCTAATTAGTTGAACCATCTCCTACGGGGATTTCGGCAACCCTCAAGCACGCACTCACCGGCTGAGTGCTAATTTCGTTGTGTAGCTGCCGCTACACTTTTCAGGCATTTACGCATCGACTGCGTGAAAGCACCCTGATCCTTAACACTGGTGGACAAACTGGGAAATCCTTTAGTACAGGAGATCGTCCCGGTTCAACTCAGCAGACTTACTTCCACGGGATGGAATCATCTAAACCTTCTTGTGCAAATTCCACTCCTTCACACCAGCAAGGACCCGTGGAATTCGCGCACAACATCTCACCTTCTCCACTCACTTCGGGTGTGATCTTCCATTTTGGTTCTCACGGCACAACAACACGCGGAGCGACTGGCGAGGAAAATAATCATTCAGGAAGGCCATCTGTGGGGGAAAGAACACATCGGTCACATACGACATCCTCTCTGGGCTCCTCCGACTCCGCGGCTCTGGATCGGACCGGCTCTAACAATGACTCCGGCAGTGCACAAGCAGTGAGTCATATCTTGGAGTCACAACTTGAACCTGCCTCTTCGATTCTCGGTGATCGGCCCAACAATTCACCTCCACCTCTTCGGGCATATCACGGGCCCATTCCTGCTGTCGCAAGTAACGGAGATGATGCTTCGCACATTCTCCAAATGCTGACCTTGCTGTCCCGCCGCCACATCTACCGGGATATATCAGTAATGGCACGCCGAACCCAGTGCATAAGGAATGGAAGTGAAGCCCTCAATCGGCCCGAGTTACAGAGCATGAAGAATGCAACTCGTAGGCTGCACCGCGATATCTTCCCGACGGAGCTAACTCTCCTGGACAATCTTTTGACCAATGTTTTGAAGAACAAGGCACTTGTTCCATCGGCGACGCGATCGGAGCCAATTTATCGATTGCGGGTAGACAATTTTGAAGTGTTGCTTGCCTCTCTGCGCCAGCAAAGACAGATTGCAGAGGTAGCCTTCGTCATCATTGGCCGGATTATCCCGAAATTACCGACATTCGGGCCCACAGGAAGTGTGAACCAATGGCATAGTTCAAATGATTTGGAGATCCTGTCAATATGCTTTCGTCTTGAGGTTGAGAACCTTCTTTGGGAGTTGGATAACATCTTCGACTTTCAGTATGGTATGCCTCGGTCAATTATCGCTCGCCTACTGAGCGGTAACCTATCTGAAGCCGGCCAGCAATTTTTGAAGATGAAAGCTTTTCCGTTGACGGCTTCGGAGTGGTTGCAGCGCCTTAAACGTACCAACAGATCACTCGTTCAACAGCCATTGTCTGTGCAGACGACTGTTCGCTCCGTTCAACTTTCCTCATTGCTACAAGTTAACCTTGCCACTCCATCCATCCATCGCGACCCCTTTCCACCCTATCCATATAGGTCACCGGCTGCATCGGCTGTGCAGACAGTGCATGATCACCATTGGTCTGTCCAATCAGCAAGCACAATGACTCCCGGAAGCTCTGCAATCCCAGTGTATTGCACACCTTCAGCACAACATGTTACACTTCAGTCATCACAAGCTACAGATCCTGGACGGTTCGATGATGTGCGAATATACCGGAAGCCACGACCCGCATGGTTTGTCAGTCCTCCTTTCCGACCTCAAGCATCAGAACCACCCAGGATTGTTGGTTCAAGTGAGCCAGATGTATAAACTTGAAGCTTGCTCTGCATTCCGAAGGATGACAGCAGGTTAAAGGAAATCCAGTGGATGAGTTACAAGTATGATCCGATTCATCTGAATTCGAAAACAGAAGTGTGAGGTCAGTTTTCCCGTTTTTGTAACTAAGGTTGAAAGTACCTTGCACTCATTTCATCTGCCCTCAATGTTTCGGCCTCTCAACTAGTCTGTACGTCGAAACTAGGGGGGGCTATGTTATGGATATGATTACATCTCACATTCTGGTAGTTTCTACGTACATCCTCGCAAGTCATTTGATTGTTCCCACGGTTCAGTTCTGTGAGTCAGGACTTTGACTCGATGTTAGGTCCCGAGGCCCCAAACCGGTAATGACTCAATTAGTAGAATAGTATATATACTGGAATGTTTGTATGTAGATAGACCACCACTCTTGCAATACTACTCTCATCTCGTCTCATATCTCTCTGTGTGAATTAAGTGAATCTAGCTCAGCACGCGGTATAGCTGCTCGGTAAGTACCCACTGCCTGGATACCAACTAACGCGCTACGCTTGGTTGTATATTTGGAAGCTGTCCTAAGTGCAGTAAGCCTTAGCGCTGCGCACGCATCTTACGTTGCGTTGTCTTAACGTACCGTAATTTGGCAGGTCACACTCGAGGTCAAGACAGGTGTAGATTATCCCTCTCTCAGTACACAGTTATCGAGTTAAGCGTCCTGCCTGCTCAGTAGCTGGTACTTCTAATTAGTTGAACCATCTCCTACGGGGATTTCGGCAACCCTCAAGCACGCACTCACCGGCTGAGTGCTAATTTCGTTGTGTAGCTGCCGCTACACTTTTCAGGCATTTACGCATCGACTGCGTGAAAGCACCCTGATCCTTAACACGGGCCATCTGACATATTCCTCGCGCAGAACTCATACGTACATCCTGCGTTCGCAATCGTTAACCTCCCATCTACGCCGCTGATATTGTACCAGGTCAATGGCTGCGTCTAGTATCTGGACAATCTGTCGTGCTCCATTCATTCCGTGAAATTGTATTCGGTAGCCGGACGAAGACAAGTGAATCAATTGTCGGTCCGGCCGTCTTTTCAGGACCAGCTGAATACCTGCGCTGGGGGGTCTCAGATTGATTCTTTCGTTCCTCGCTCGCCCCACCGGGTTGTCAGTACTAG